GATCAAGCCTGCAAGCAAGGTACATGCCCTTGACGGGAATCAAACCCAAGTCAGTCCACAGGCCTACACTCTAACTACTGAGCCAAACCAGCTAGGGCTCACCTCTTTTTGAAAGGTATTTTCATTGAGTATAAAATTCTAGATTGACAGGAATTTTTTCTCTCTTACATTAAAGTTGTTATGCTATCTTCTAGCCCGTGATGTTTCCAACAAAAAAATCTGCCTTCATCTTTATTTACTTGTATATAATGTGTCTTTTTTTTCTTTTGGCTGCTTTTAAGATTTTTCCTTTATCACTGGTTTTAGGTCTTCTGATTATTTTGTCTTTGTTTTTGTTTTTTGTTTTTTTGTGTGTGTTTTTTTCTTGTGCTTAGGGCTCATTGAGCTTCTTTGATCTCTAGGTTTTTAGTTTTTATCAAATTTAGGAAATGTTCTGCCATTATTTCTTCAAATAATTTTTTATGTTTCCCTCTTCTGCCTAATTACACACATGTTAGGCTGCTTGAAATTGTCCCATGACTCAGTGGTGCTGTGTTAACTGTTTTTATGTTTTTGCCCTGTCTTTCATTTTGGATAGTTTCTATTGCTGTTTATTCGGATTTACAAACCTTTAGGTAATTGCCTCTATTCCTATCTAGTATATTTTTATCTCAAGCTTTGTAATTTTCATCCTTGGAAGTTTGATTTAGGTCCTTTTTTTATCTTTCATGTCTCTAGTTGTTCAGTCTTTTCTCTAGGTTCTTGAATATATGAAGTGTAGTTATAACTCTTTTAATGTCCTTGTCTGCTAATTTTATCATGTGTTATTCTGGTTTAGGTTTGATTGATTGATTTTTCTCCTCACTATGGTCATATTTTCCTTTTTCTTTGCATGCCTGGTAACTTTTGGTGGGTGCCAGGCATTATGGATTTTACCTTGATGAGTGCCAGATTTATAAATTATTGCCATAATATTCTCGAACTTCATTCTAAGATGTAGATAACTTGATCCTTTCAGGTTTCGCTTTTAAATTTTGTTGGATGTGACCAGAGTTGTGTTTAGTCTAGTGCTAGTTTTGCCCCATTCCTGAGGGAAACCCCTTCAATATCCTGTGAATTATTAAGTTTGACACTCTGGCCAGTGGAAACAGGAACTATTCCCAGCCCTGTGTGATATCAGGGATTGTTCCTTCTAACCTTTTCAGGGGACTCTTTCCCTGGCCTCAGGTGGTTTCCTCACATTGATACATTTACTGTACTCAGCTGAAAACTTGAGAGGGAACCTGTACAGATTGCTGGAGTGCTTTGGGTGCACTTCTTTTCAGTACTCAGTGCCCTAGGACCTCTAGCCCCCTTGGCCGCCTCAGACTCCTAGTTTTGTCTCTTCAACTCAGGGAGTCTTCTGGGCTGCCTCTGGGTCTCCACCCCCTGAGATGTGTCCTGGAAACTTGACAGTAGTTAGGGTATTGGAGGGTGCACCCTGTTTTCATATTTCTCAGGCATCATTGGCCTCTATTACCTGACATCCCAATATATTGAAAATTATTTCATGTATTTTTCCCAGTTTATTAGTTGTTCCAAGCATTATGGTAAATTAACTACCTGTTTTCTCTCTTGGCCAAAAGCATATGTCTCTGCCATTCTCTTAAAACTGCTTTTCCCTTGTTTTTAGTTTGGATTGGGTGACTTAGCCCATGTCTGTTAAAATACTGATTATCTGCTCATGAGCCCTGGTTACATGTGAGGAGGGATGGTGTCACTGTGACAGCAGTTTCTGAGCATAACCATTAGGTCTCTGCCAGCAGGACATAATTGTCCACTAGAAAAGCAATTTAGAGACAAGGCTTTTAGAAGCCTAGGATCTCATTTCTTCCCCCATACAACCCAGACTTGTTTGAATGTCTGTCTGTAGGAGTGCTTGAGATAGAAAGAAAGGCAAGGTGTTATTTTTCAAGGTGAGCTCACGTAATATTTCTGCAACTGTGGGCAATAACAAGATTGACATGATGCAGAGAGCCCCCCCTTTGCATAGTCAATTGAGCTCAGCTATTCACCACTTGTCTCCTTTTTTCTGGATAGGTCTGTCTGCAGGTCGAATTTCCCAGGTTATTGTTGGAGACGAGCAGCGGCAGTACCTCTTGGTGATTGGGAGGGATGTAGATGATGTCCGGTTAGCTCAGCATTTGGCTCAGGCAAATGAGATTGTCTTGTCCTGGAACTGCTGGACACTCTGCAAGCAGTACATGTTTGAAGTAGAAATCATGAAGGATCATAAAGCTGTGAAGGTAGGAGACTGGCCCCATCCATTGCACATTCTGAAAAGGCCTTCCTACTGTACACGATAGGCAGTGCTCTGGTAGTGGTCACATATTGCCTGACTAAAACAACCACCATCTGAACTCTATTTTGGAGAGACATGGGGGATATTCTCCCAGAAAGATAGATGAGGCAGAATAGTAAGGCTGAAAAGATAAATAATAAAGGAGATGGCATCCTCAGTCCCTCTGTTAAGGAACCAAAGGTAATCCAGTTGGTGGGTAGACATAGAATTGAGCACCTTTCTTTCTATAGTTAAGAGATATGCGGATCACTGGCCCATTTGATTTCGATGAACATTTTCACAAGTGTCTCAATTATCTGCCACATTACCGGACAAGTGCTAGTAAGTTACTTTGTCTTTCTACCCAAGCTTAAAATTTTAAAGATTAATTTTCAACATGGCTGGAGACATTTTGTTTGTTTTCCTTTTCTCAGACATTCTAAGAACTGCCCTGGAGTTGGATCCAGACTCTGCACTTGAGCAAACTCTGCGGAAGCACATCATGAAAAACCTTTTGAAGAAGGTTGTTTCCTTGTTTTTGAGTCATCATGTAGACTGTGCATGTGTTTGTGTAAACAGGTGTACATTTATATGTGATGGCCTTTCTTCATTGATCCAGTTTGTCTCCCGCACCCCATTGTAATACGAGCAGATTTCCCCATCTGTACCAGTTAGAGTGATGACGTGTCTTATAACTTCAGTTAGATTTCTCAGTCCTAGAAAGTAAAAGCCATATTTGTTTTTCAGTTTGTCACTCAAGAAACTAATATGCTGTATAGCAGGGTACAAAGTATATGCTTGGTTATTTAATGTGTGTTGACTGATTGTATATATATATATATATAAACATACATTAATCCCTTAGTAAGTGATGTAATGACTAATGGAATTGGAAACATGAAACTAACTCTTAAGAAAACATAAAAGCTTGACAAGTTTCATCAGTGAATTAGGTTTAAAGTCAAACAGTTTTCATTCCAAGTGCACTGGTTTTTATATCTTATATATCTCTCAAATCTGAATTTTCTTTTAAGATTTTGTCTGACACCCTTTTTCCTACTCACCATGGAATGTAGAATTCTTAAACAGGATACTGGCAGTTGAAAATACAGGCAAGGTAACTCACTGTGTCTTTGTAGATTGATGAAGGCCAGCCTATGGAGTATATATCTGAATTTCGTAACGTGACTATGGTTTTAGTCAGCCTAGAGTTCCACAAGACAGCGTGGATGTTGCATTTGTGTCATCTTATCCAGAAGGCTGCGTTATATATCTCCACAGTCATAGAGAAAGGGGGTGGCCAGCTGAGCCGGATCTTTATGTTTGAGAAAGTAAGTACAAGGGAACCTGTCCCATCAGCATTAAAGGCGAGTGAAGAAAAATAGTCTTGTGTGACCAGTTTACCTGTCACATAACACAAGTGTAAGTCACATTCCCTGCTACTTATTTTGCAATAAGCTATTTTACATTAAAACTTCAACTAATAACAGTCAAGGAATGAAATGTGATAGTTAATTGTCAGGGTAATTGAGGGTTACTCTCTATATCCTTTTTGATTCAAGTCTTGTTGAAAAATTCTTGTGAAAGCATAAAGAATGTTTTTCTGGCTCTATTAGTAGAGTAAATGTAATTAGACCTTTCTCAGATAATTAAGGAGCTTGAAAAAGAGCAGTTTCAATACTTGACATTATATGTGAAGAAAATGTGGGCACATAGATTTAGCTCAAGGTATACACTAGAGATTGAATTTTTGAAAAGTTCTTGGCATTAATTTTTCTTGTGTTTTAAATTTTAATTCTTTGAATAGTTAGTTAAATTAAAATCTTATTTCTTTTTCTTAAAATCTCCATGTTGATGTGGCTCAGAGCATTCATTTCATGAATCTTGTAGAACCCTACATTCCTAACAGAAGACCAGTCAAGAAAGGGCCTGGCTTCATTCAGGGGAGTTGGTTCACTTGCAGTAAGCCATATTACTTCCCCAGGTAAACTTCCTTTTCCTTCTTTGTTCTCTGTCCCAGGGCTGCATGTTCCTCTGTGTTTTTGGCCTTCCTGGGGATAAGAAGCCAGATGAGTGTGCACATGCCCTAGAGAGCTCCATCAGCATCTTCAACTTCTGCTGGGAGAATCCCACCGAGACCAAGTGAGGAGGAAAGTGGGGCAGAGAGGAGCTTCTCAGGCCCCAGGGGGCTCTTCAGGCAGGGTAGGAGGCTGTACAAGTAGCAGGGTTTGAGGACATCCAGAATCTTCTTAAAGGGGAGGGAACATGCTAAGGGAAGTCAGAAAACAAGATCTATTAAGCAATCACTAGTTACAGAACAGTGTCCTAGATACCCAGAGTAAATGAAAATAAGTTTCCACTCAGCAGGGGAGGAGAAGGGGAGGAACAGAGTGCACATAGCAAGATTCAAGAACGCTGCAAAGGAATAAGCAAACGTAAATTAATATATACAAATAGTATATTCATATGTGGGGGGAATGCAGAACCAGGGTTGCCTGTCTACCTACAAAGGAGGGCAGGTACAGGGCAGTTACCTAGATGGGAAGGAACCACAGCTGGTTAGTGCTCTTCTTCTGGCCTTTACTCTTGGTCTTTCCCAGACCCATTACTTTTTCTGGAATTTACACTGGTATGATCACCCTCCTCTACATCCACCTCGCCCTCTCACCTTCTATAAACTCCTAGTCCAAATGAAGATATAGAAAATTCTATTTTTCCACTCATTGTACTGTGACAAGGTTGGTTGGAAGTTTTCAAATGACTTTTTTCCCCACTAGAAAGGTATGGGGAAAGTGTATACATGAATGGATTTGAAGAACAGTTATTTCTAATGTTAACATTGAGTCAAAGATTTGTTTGCCATACTTATTCAAGATGAGTAAAATTATATCACAATTTAAATAGTGCTTTAAAATTTATAGACTACTTTAATATATGCTAATAGTGTGAAAATTTTTATCCCTCTTTTACACTTGAGGATACTAAGACCGCAGAGGAAAAGTTACTAGCATATAGCAGAGCTGGTAATGAAACCCAGATCTTCTGTCCTCAAATTTTTATGAGAGCTGCCTCTTATAAAATGCAAATACTCCCCAAAAAGGATAATATATATTACAAATGTGATATAATTGCAGAGGCGTACTCATAGAATATTAGTACTGAAAATAAATTTACATTATCTGATCCATCTCATTTTACAGATTAAAAAAATGCTACAGTTGCTTCATATATACTCAGACTCTTAGCCTAGGACAGATATGTGTTGGCACTTCTTTTAGGCATGGTGGGATCTACAGATACTTCTATAGCCTACTTTCAAATATTGTCTCCACTGTGGGTGTGCTGGGCCATCCTGTCCAGTACTGGTCTATTCTGCTCTTGAATTTTGCATTGACCTATATATTTATATATATTGAAGAAAGAACATATTCTTCATCAATGAAGAACATTTTAAAAGAAGGAAGGAGTATGGACTGCCAGGAAGAACAAGAAGGGGATTGCAAAGTACAATAGAAAGAAATAAGTAACCAAGTGAGAAAAGTGTTATTTGCTTAATTTTCATTGTCTTGTTAATAGCTGAGTTTCTTGCCTGCATAACTGCATTTATTCAACCAGCAGTGGTTGAACACAACTGTGAGCTATTTATTGTGCTAGGTTTAATGGACATAAAGAGGAGCAAGACACTACCTCTTCAGCTAAGTAAACTGCTATCTTTGATACAGTGAAATTTAACTACAGGAGTAAAATGCTGTAGGAGCTGTAACGAAGTGCTATGGGAAGAAATAGTTAATTCTCAACAGAGATTCCAAAGACATCTTGACTATAGAAATAACTTTTGAGCCAGGTTGAGAATAAAAGTTCTATAGGTGGAGAAAGTGGGAAAAGGCATTTTAGGCAAAGTAAACATGATGAAACAGAAGGTTTTTAGTCTTGTTCTTGGTATGGCCGCAGAACCAACTGTCTGGTTCTTGTCTTGGATGTCTCTTTTATTTGCCCTGGGCAGTGGGCCCAGTGAATGAATGTTAAGAGTCTTCAATCCTATCATTCCCGTAAATTCTGCAAGAGAATTTCAATGTCTCAGGTGACAATAATGTTAGGATTTTTTTCACTACTCATGCTCTATGAACAACTGAAAATTGTTTATTTGTAGATTTAACTTAAAACTATGCTCACTGAACTCTCTTTCTCCACCCACACATCTTGTTATCTGTCACAGGAAATTTTTACATCAGTCAAGTAAATCTACTTATTCTCTGTTCATTGCCACCGTTGAGCCTTTGCCTCACCTGGAACAATATATGCCCTCTTTTAACTTTTAAAAGACAGCATTTAAAAGACAGCATCATACAAACTCCATACATTTTCCAGGATCAACTGTACAAATAATGGTTTCTTTCCTTTTGCCTGTAAAAAAGAACGTATATGCTTAGGTTTCTGAGTATTTAAAGTAATGCATATTTCCACTACTTTTCCATCCATGGACTAGGTAGGACCACTCCTCCCTTCCCCTTTCCCTTTCTAAACACCTCCTGTGCTCCAGCCTTCTTGAACTACTTAGTCTTGCAGAAGCACGCCAGACTCTTCAAAGCCTGTGCCTTCCCCACTAGACACAATGCTGTTGCCCCACTTTGGCAGTACTTCAGCGTTCAAGGTCCGATCATATGTCCTCTCCTTTATGAAATACTTTTTCTGCTCTCCAGTTAATGCTTCCCTCTGTTTGCTCTGTTAATTTGCTGTACTGATCTCTAATGTGTAGTATTTGTCTTGTTAACCTATAAATGTATCTTTTTACCCTCCTCAATCCCTACTACTCTCCTTCCCAGGTTGAATTTCTCCAGGGAAGAATGTTTTTGTACAGATCATATCATATAAACACCCAGCTCAGTGCTTGGTACTGTACATACTTCTCAGTGCTTGTTAAAAGCAAGAATGTATGCACATGAATGAGTGACAAAATATCACTTATCTTTAAAATTGTATCCCAAAGTCTAATTTGCTTCCGGCAGCCCTCCATCAGCAGCCCAGTGTTTTGGTTATCCCTTGCCTCTGACAGTCCAGCATTATTTGACCCATTAACCCTGTTCTGATATCTGTTGATCTATTTAAGTTTCGGCTTTTATCTGGGGCAGTGTGGAAAAGTGGAAATAACACTGGTCTAGGAGTCAGGAGGCCTGGGTTCTCATTCTGATCTACTGTTGACTTTTGCAGTGTAACTTTGGGAAAGTGAATTAACTCTTTGTTGTTGTTGGCAGTGGTGGTGGTCAAATGGAGTTCAAATATTTGCCCTACATACTTCGCATGTTTGTTGTTAATTATCCCTTAAATGATCAGATGAGGTAATCAATTTGAAAGTACTTCAAAAAGTATATATCAAGTATCTGACAGACCAGCCGGTGTGGCTCAGTGGTTGCGCATTGACCCAGGAACCAAGAGGTCACCAGTTTGATTCCCAGTCAGGGCATATACCTGGGTTGCAGGGTCAATCCCCAATAGGGGGTGTACAGAAGGCAGCCAATTAATGTTTCTCTCTCATCGATGCTTCTATCCCTCTCCCTTACTCTCTCTCTAAAATCAATAAAAACATATTTTTTTGAAAAGTATCTGACAGATATAAAGCATTTTTAGTCTTTTTACTACTAATTACTCCCCAACTGAAACTCCTGGAGTAGAGGGACCATTCTGTTCCTTTTGGTTATTTCCCTAATATTCAATATTTTGTACCCATCATGTGATGTAGACTGGCAGCAGCCTCTGGCCTTTTCCATTCTGAACTCTAAAACTAGTCTTGATCTGGGTAGTGACAGACCTAGTGCCTGACCTGACGGCTTCTGACTGTGTACTTACCCATTGTTGCTTTTCTGATCCCCAGGCTTGTTTCCATCAGTGTCACCAATGGACCAGTATTCTGTGGTGTGGTTGGGGCAGTAGCAAGACATGAATATACAGGTAGAATAGGACAGTGGACTGTTCGTTCTCTTGCTCAGTGGGTAAAGATGGAGGAGGTGATCCAAAAATGCTGCCTCCTTTTCTGTCTCCTTGAACAGTTATTGGCCCAAAAGTGAGCCTTGTGACCAGAATGATAACTGCTTATCCAGGTTTGGTGTCTTGTGATGAGGTAACATATCTAAGATCCATGCTACCTACTTACAACTTCAAGAAACTCCCTAAGAAAATGATGAAGAACATCTCCAACCCTGGGAAGATGTATGCATATCTTGGCCATAGAAGATGCATGTGAGTGTCATCCCGATCTCTTTTACAGAATCAGGGCATAAGAGTAATCAGTGTCTGATTGTATGAAATTAGAAAAAAAAGATCCTTCTAGTACCGGACTGCTGAAATAAGACACAGAGGAAGGCTTTGAGCATGAGATCTTCAGCTTTTATGTTTAGCTCTTAGCTAGTTCCTCAATGAACTTGCTATCCAGCTGGAAGAGAATAACAGTAGGTCATTAACTTATGTGTTCTTTTTCCTTTGTGCACTGCATGCTTCCCTGAACCAAGAACAATCAATGATACTTCTTCCCCCTTCTCCTAAAATTTTTTAGTTTTGTAAAAACTCTTTTTTACAGAACTCTGTACCTCTTCAGTTATCTGAAAGTACTTGCTTGTGAGGACAATTCTTTCTCTATTTAGAGATATATTATCTATCTATTCCAATCTATTTTTAATAGACACATTTCCCTTTGTCTTTTTTCCTAGCATGTTTGGGAAGAGACATTTGGTCAGAGAGAGGAATAAAAATCACCCCTTGTTAGGTGAGTTTTCTTTTCTACCTTAAATTGTACTTTTTTCCAGCTGTAGATGGTTAATGTGATTTAAAAAATTCAAGACTAAATGCTTTTAAGCTGTATTAAAAATAGCAGCCTTCATAGAAAGCAGTGCATTTATGTTCATTTTGAAGAGGATTTGCCATTTCTTTTCCATGTTGAATGTTTAAATTTCCTATCACTTTGCCTGAGAAGTGCCAACATTTAGTAAGAATCTTTGTAAATCAGAGTTCCGCTATTGAGATCTGACCAGCTTGTTGTGGCTCACCTTTAGAGGAAAATTTCTCATCCTCAGATAGTGAAGATAGCACCAAGACTGTTGCCATTTACACTATAGTCTCTATCTTTGTATTTATTTTATCTATATCTGTTAGTTAGTTCATTATCTTTACATAGCAGTGACAGGCTTTGATTAAAAATTGTTACTATGGAAATTTTTACAAAAAACTAAAACATATCCATGTGGTACCTAACTGTCCAGAATGTCATTGCTTAGGCTCCAGAGCAAACCACCAAGCCCAGCACACATGTCTGTATAGTCCAGAATTAATTTTCTGGGAAGATAACTTGAAGCCTTACCAAAGAATAGGATTCTGCCAAGGATTCTGGGGGAGACATTCTGAGACTTAATTTTGCAAATTATTCAAATAAATAAGAGTGTCTACTAAAAAGCACAGGAGTGTTAGGTGCTCCCTGTCTCTCTACAGAACGGGAGACAGAACTGGAAGCTTTCAAAATGGCACAGCAAGGATGTTTGCACCAGAAGAAGGGACAAGCAGTTATGTATGAAGGTGGAAAGGGCTATGGAAAAAGTCAGCTGTTGGCTGAAATAAACTTACTGGCCCAGAAGGAAGGGCACAGGTAAAGACACCTGCTTTCTGACTTAGCATATGCTTCTCTTGGGGCTCCTTTCCTTTGTTGGTGAGGCTCTTGAATCATTAGATTCAGCATCCTTGGACTGGTAGAGTGAGTAACCTCTCTGTGAGTAAGTCGACTCCCTGTGACAATAGTGACATTCACCAGGGTGTTGCCATTGAAGCTGAAGGAAGCAGATTGCAAGCAGCACTTCTATGCCATCCAAACCCTCATGGCCATCTTCTTTGAGATTGATACATGCCCAGCCTGTTACCGGCAAGAGCGCCTACATAAACAGCTTCGTGGGATAGTGGAGGAGCCACTTCACTGCCTTTTTAATGACCTCTTCTTTGTAAAGGTAGGGAAGGCAGTGGCTTTCTGAATTGGATCACCAATGTTTTATACACACACACACACACACACACACACAGAAAGAGGGAGAGAGAGACCAGACTATGATACATAGTTAGCAATGGCGGGAGTGAGATTTGAAATCCCTTTGACACAAAACCCGGGCTTTCTTCTTTTTGAGGAGAATGAATTCTAAGACTGACTGATGCTTGTTAGTTGTATGTCCTGGCACAAATCACTTAGCCTCTCTGAGCCTCAATTTTTTCACCTGTGAAAATGACAAGTACAGTACTTACATGGTTTTTGCATGGATTTTAAAGGAGATGATGGTATATAAGCGACTGCATTGTCAATGTGAAAGTGCTAAATCCATCAAGATGATCCTAACCAGTCAGTTGAGCATCTCCAGCAAAATCCATAGCTCCTCTAGTTGGTTGGAATGTTTTGTTCTTTAAGCCTGCCTTTCCTTTCCCTAGCCATGGAGCACGTCACTTGAACTGAAATCTGAATCTCAAAGGCTTCCAGCAGTCTATGTGCATGTGGTACCCAACAGAGAGTAGGCTACGAATTCCCTGGTCCACACCTCCATTTGTTCATTCCTGTTCACATCTCCCGATCTACCCAGCCTGCAAGGGGTTATATTTAATGGAAAATAGAGAAAACTAAAATCTGTTCATTCCCTCAGCATAGCCCTGTCTTGAGACAGGACTTGCCTAGGGCTCTGGCCCTGGCCAAAGTGGCTAAGGAGTAGCCCCACCTTGGCTCTCAGGTCCATGGTAACTGATGTGCCTCAGCCTAGCACAGGAAACAGTATTAGGTGATGTCTATTGCAATTGTGTCTGACAAGTCTCATGTACACATTCATCCTGGAATAGTTGGAATAACTGGAGTACTGGAGCTGTCCAAAGTGGCATTGCTAAGTCTTTAATCATGACCCTTTAAGGGTTTGCCAGAGTCTGGTATGGAAAGGAGCTCTCCCTCTAACTGCCAGTGGACTTTCAGTCTTACCCTCTGAACTATATATTGATGTTTGTAACACTATGCTCGATACTGTAGAAACCCATTCTCACTCAAAATCATTTTCTATTCCCTTTGGAGAACCTGTATATTAGTATTAGATTGTCATTTTGAATGCTAATATGTGAATAATTTTCCTGGTCAGTTTCCCTTATCCTTCCAAGTTTCACACATGGATGACCTGGCCAGACAAAAGAAGATTAAAGAGTGTTTTTTTCAAGTGCTACAGGAGGTGGGTACTTTTGCTACATACCATTAACTCTTAATATATAGAGATGGTTTATGCTCATTTTAATCGTCCACATCACACCTTGACTTGGATATTTCTTGGCCTGCTTATTTGTTGATATCATTGTTTGTATCTATCTTTAACCTTGAATCTATCATATAACATAGTAAAGGTATTTGCTCTTTTCTGATCCTGTTTCTTAATGAAATTTTAATAACTTAATTTAAAGCAGTGGTTTCTAAATGCCGGTGGATAGCTATTAAAAATACAAATACTCAAGCCCCAACCCAGAATTACAGAATCTATAAGAGCAGAAACTGTGATTTAGCCATTCTGGAAAGCAATCTAGAAGTAGCAAGTAAAATTTTAAGAACATGCATTCTCTAACAGCAGTTCCACTCCTGGATATATATCCCAGGGAGTCTGTTTATCACAGTGTTTGTTTGGGGAGACATTGGCATGAACTTAAGGATAGACACTGTGGACTATAATGCTGAAGTTAGAAGTAAGGGAATAGATGAAAACATAGGAACACAGAGCGGTCTTAAAAACAGCCCTTAATAAAGAGAGAGAAATAATGAGGTCTGTAATACAGTACCGTTTATATAAAAACAATATTCTTGACAAAACAACTATGCACATTTTACAAGAACAACATACAAATAAATGGTTAAATGATAAGCACATTAAAGTGGTTACCCATATCAGTGGGGAATGTGGGCACTTCTTTAAGTAAGGAATGTGGATAAAAGTAAATACATTTTTTTAAAACATCTACACAAGTAGGGGCTGGTAATTGGTAGTTTTAGCAAGCACTCCCAGGAAATTCTGACTACAGCCAGTTTGGAAATTACTGGTTTAAAATATTATGAATTCCCACACAGTTTGAAGCCTTTGCACAATGAAATATTTGAAAGCTTTAAGTTTGATTTGGAGAATATTTGGTACTTAATTCATTTTTTTGTTATCGTATTTTCTTGTCCAAAGAAACTCAGCACATTTCTTTAGAAATTAGATGTACATGCTATATTTTGTATTTATAAAGTGAAATACTACCTGGACTTAGGATACATTTTATTCTGAAAACCCCAGACTCTGTTGACATTTAAATTGTCGATAAGAAATTCATGGTAGATTTGCAAAGCAGGTGACTTCATTTGTAATCAGAGGTTGTCATTGTCTCTTTGTTGTTATTTCCAGGAAGTGAGGGGAACACCCCTGATTTTCCTCATTGACGAGGCCCAGTATATGGATGCAGCTTCCTGGGAGTTTTTGGGAACATTGCTCTCCAGTGTGCCCATCATCATGGTGATGACATTGACACCTACCTTCAGCCTGTGTGGCAGGGCCCAGCACTTCATGCAGAGCCCTCAGGCTGTGCTGAAGCCCATTTCGAAATTAGCAGTGAACTCACTGTTGAAAATGGCATGTTGGGAACTAGGGGTGGTGAGCATCCCCCAAGAGCTGCAGATGTGAGTGGCTGGGACTAGCTGGGCACTTCACTAAGGGAGGAATGGCATTAGTAACCATGATGAGACCCACTACTAGATGTAAAGGTAGACAGTCCTCCTAGTCAACCAGTAAGGGGCCACTTCCCTGGGCTATCCACCAGGTTTTCACAGGACAGTTAGGACTTGGATGGCTTGCTTAATGTGTCAGTTGTATGTGGTCAGGCCAGTTTCTGCCAGGCCATTTAGCAAGGGGATGTTAGTTTCTTTTAACGTCAGTAGAAGCAAAATAGTTAAAAAAGAAAAGTTACTCCCAAAATACATTTCAAAGCCAATCAGAATTTTTTTTTTTACACTTCTGTGTTGCTGCTTTTCTCTGTTATTGTATATTAAGAGCTGACTTCAACAAAAAGAAATATTCCTATTATGAAATACCCTTATGCTTGGCTCTCTTCAAGAGGGCATCTTTAGTTAGCAATCTCCTAACTTACCTCTCTACAGCTACCTTCTCTGCAGGTGCCTTGGAAACCCCCTCTACTGTGAGGTCCTATGCCAGGACCTTCTCTCTAAGGACATACTGCTCTTTCATGACCTCCAGAAGGCAGAGGAGGAGAACAGCAAGTGGGAGACCCTCTCAGGTAAGCTCAGCTCCCCAGGGTTCTACCCTGGTCCAGCTGCATCTCCCAACCCTATAAGGTACATGCCTATTCTCTGCTGACATTATAGGTAAGATTAGGCCTCCCTAACTAAGTGAAAATACTAAATCCCTGCCTCAGATAACTTGAGTCAGTCAACCTACCCTAATTCCTTTTGGAGCAGTGCAGGAGGTGAGGATAGGAAAACAGGATCTATAACCATGACAGTCACTAGAAGGGATTTATAAACATGAGTTCAACAGAGAATTGCACATTTCTTAACAGAAGGGTGACTTGAGGATTTGGACGGGGGGAATGAGAGAAGGGGAGGAGGGTGGAAGGAGAGGAAAGGAAGTGTGTGTAAATCTGGAAAGACACCCTAGACCTGCGGTACAGTAGAAGTAAGGGCTATTGGCAGGTAAACAGGAAGGGTGAGAATGTCAGATACCACATGGTGGAGAAAATGTTCATTTCTAAGAGAAAACTAGAGAAAAGGCAGGCGGGTGGGTGGTAAACCACTTAAGACGACATGCTCCATTCACCTCATCATTTTAGTTTTTTGACTAAATTTCTGAATTTTTGTGCCTTTAATACTACAGTCAGTGCACATGGTGTTTTCCTCTGTCGTGGGTTTCTTTCCCTACAGCTAATGCCATGAAATCCATAGTGTATAGTATTTCTCCTGCCAGCTCTGAAGACGACCAGGAACTTTATGTCTGCATAGTAAAGGATGGTGTGAACTTGGATACAGTGCTGCTCCCACCGTTGTTAAAAGGCAGGTCCCTCAAAGAACTCAAGTGAACCAGTAACAAATGGCATTGCAATTAGTAATTTGGTGGGTGACTGAATATAGGTCTCTTATTATCATGCTAGTTTCGTTTTCTTCTAAAAAGGAAAGCTGCCTTCCAGAAAGAAGTTCTGGCACTACCCAAAGTGCCCGTTAAAGAATTGTAATGCTACTTGAGTAATGGTTTACATAAGTGAGCCCATTGTTCTCCTTGGGGCTGACTGATGACATGGAAAAGTTTTTTAGTTATTTAATAAAAATACGACCTGAGTTTCCCTCTGTGCATATTCCTGTGCTGGAGAAAACAGTAAGCAAGGGAGATACTATTGCTGAAATTTAAGAAAATTCTGGTGCTAGTGAAGAGACAGTGCTATACACATAGCAGGAGTTTAAGAAAAAGAGTGCAGGGTAGTTTATAATGACTTATAAGACAAAGAAGCGCCCGGCCCGGTATGGATCAGTGGTTGCGCATCGACCTAGGATCCAGGAGATCTCGGTTCAGTTCCCGGTCAGGGTACATGCCCAGGTTGTGGGCTCAATCCCCAGCCGGGGGCATGTAGGAGGCAATCGATCAATGACTCTCTCATCATTAATGTTTCTATCTCTCTCTCCCTCTCCCTTCCTCTCTCTGAAATCAATAAAGACATATTTTTTTTAAAAAGATAAAGAAGCCATTAGAATTAGGTAGGCATAATTGGACAGGGATGTTCTTCTTTTTAGAGATGAGTTTTTCTTTTAATATTCAAGTGTTTGGTGGGCAGTGTTCTGTATCAAGCCCTCTGGAGGGATATGATGGTGACTAAGCAGACTTTCAAGTCAAGGATGGTCTTGCTGAGCATATGAGACATGCATATGAAATAGTGGTACAAAGCACCATGGTAGTTAAGAGCCAGGACTCTAGAGTCAGAAAAATCTGGAGACTGTTGGCTCCTCCACTGACTGGCTGTGGAACCTTAGATAAATTAATTAACTTCTGTAAGCCTTAGTCTCCTCATCACTCACATGAAGGTAATGATAGTTCCTACCTCATGGGGTGAAGGATTAAGTGAAATAAATCAATGTTCTCTTTTATAAGCTATTCATTCTGGAGGTTTTAAGTCCATCTAGACAGTTCATACTCCCACAACTATGACAGACCCTACTTGACAATGGCTTTCCTAACTTAGAAGGACACAAGTCAGGAAGCACAGCATGCTAGCAGAACAGCAGCAAGTGGTTTTCTTCAGTGGGAGTCCCACAGCAGTTTCTGCTGCTGTTCTCTGGAGCCTCAAGGAATAGCTTAGGTGTGATGGAATGAGACCATGATGGATGGGTGCATAGAAGCCCCATGCCCCAGCTAAAAACTGGTATCTCTTATAACAACCTCATAGGCATAATGTCCAGGCCCTGCAAGGGACATGACCTGTTAAAAGGTTTATGCACCCAAGGAAGCTCAAAGCTGTAGCTTATCCCAGTATTCGTAGCTTATTCGCAGTTTCCTTAATCCAAATTCAGTTTCCAATCAGGGATAATTTTTAGCGTAAGTGATGTTACCTGATAACTCAGATGACCTTCTCATTTTATCAAGATCATGGGAACATGCTAGAAAGTTAACCCAAAGTCAACATTGTCCACAGAGAAGGAAGAAGGTTTGTTAACTCATAAGCTAAAATGAATAGCTCAGTCTGTAAAGCCTTGGTCTAAATAAAAGGCCAAAGCTAGATTGTGAAAGGCCACATAAATTATAAAAGTATTTAAGAAGGAGGCTGACATGATTATATTTGTACTTTAAGTATATAACTCTGCCAATAGCTAATATCTTATTGGGATAAGAATGAGAGGAAATTGGAGATGTTTGGAACATGGTATTATAGTGACCCAGGTGGAAATGACTACTCACACTAAGATAGTTTAGGAGGGAACATATGCAGAACATTTAGGAGGACGACAAGTGGGTGACCAGTGGTTGTGAGGGAAAGAAAAAGGTTTAGAATGATTCCAAGATTTTTGGCTTGGTGACTTACTGGTTCAATATGACTGCTTTCATCTATGCGTCATAATGTGGAGAGATTTACTCTAATGCTTAGAGTTAATTAAGATCTTCATAATTATTAGAGCTCTGGGACCAGGAAGCCTGGCCTCCATGTTTAGTCCAAAGGAAGAAGAAAGTGTGAGTACTTACTAATCATGAAAATGGGAAGAATTGTTAGTGTAGCTGAATGATTAGCACATACCTTTGGGTTTACCAACAAAATGTTTTGGTCACCGTGAGTGAAAAGTTTCAGTGATGTGAAACCTGATTGTTGTTGGTTGAACAATGAATGAAGCATGAGGACAGATGGCGACATGGAGATGAGGCCCTTTGAAGAGGTCTGGCTGAGCGAAGAGGGGGTGGACAGAAAGCAAGCCTTTGTATATTTTTGTGAACGAACAGGTTGTCCACACAATATACTCTATGTTGTAGAAAGCTTGTTCATTGCTGATTGTTTTTCCTCCAGAAATAGCAGTAAACCAACTGGATCAGTTGAGCCCAGAAGAACAGTTGCTGGTTAAGTGTGCTGCAGTCATTGGCCACTCCTTCCACATAGATCTGCTGCAGCACCTGCTGCCTGGCTGGGACAGACATAAGCTACTGCAGGTGCTGAGGGCTCTTGTGGATATACACGTGCTCCGTTGGTGCGACGAGAGCCAAGAGCTCCCTGCTGAGCCAATATTAGTGCCTTTTCCTGTGGAGATGATTGAAAAAACCAAAGAGAAAAGGAAAAAGTCGGATGAGGGAAAGAAAGAGTCGGGTGATGGAAAGAAAGAGTCGGGTGAGGAAAAGCTGGTCCCTTGTCCTCAGGCCTGAACAGAGAGCCTTGGGTGGGGATGGAGGCAGGTATCTATGTTGTGAAAGAGCATCAATATCATATATCAAGGGCCTCAGTCTCTTAAAGCTTATAGCTAAGAAATGGGAAAAACAATTATTTTACCCTTGAAGGAACCATGATTATAGTGAATGAATAGCTTATATTTTTCAGAGCTGTCTTAATTTCAAGAAGTCTAGCTCCTTGTTAGTACTTTGTGTCAAGTACTTGTGTTTTGATTTTTGGTTCAGAAAATATTGCCATAATCCTTTATTGGCATCTAGGTATAAATAACAAGAAAGAAGGATGAACTATTTCTAATTTTAGAAATTCACAGAGAAGGTAAATATACGTGGTACTGAAACAGATATTCTCAAATTCTCCACATGAAAGAAGAAAATTGTGGCATACAATACCCAAAGTATATATAATCCACAAATATTTTCCTTTTGACTTTGAAATATGTTTGGGCCTTATATTTGAGCAGAGTATTTCTGATGATTTGGAGTTTATAATAATTTATAGTACAAAAGCTCATTTTAGGAGGAACAACTAAGAAATCTATCCAAGTGTACTCTGTACCCCAATCCTTCCTTCTCTGCAGTACTCTATCCTAGATATGGTCAATATCCCTCTCAGATTAGTGTAAAATTCTTTATACAAAGTAGGCAGTAATACCAAATGGGAATTGTAAATGAAATTTCTTTAAAACTAGCAGCATGTGCTTGGGAGTTTGCTATATGGTAGCAGACATGGACTTTAAAGGAGACTCACTTAGGTTTTTCTGTATTTCAGGGGCTGGCTCTCCTCTCAGGCTAAAGGAGGAGCTCTCTCTCCCTCACCCTGAGGTGCTGGAATTTGGAGCGCCTCTATTACGGGAAGCTGCGTGGGAGCTGTGGCCCCAGGCACAGCAGAGAGCCCTGCACCTCGAATGCGCCTGCCTTCTCCGAGACCTGGCCAGCCGCTGTGGGAGCTGCCAGGGGGCCGACTTTGTCCCTTTCCACCGGTTCGCCGTCTGTCCTATGAAGAGCTCCAGAGGGACATCCCGATTCTGTAGTTACAAAGATACTGGCTCGGTGCTAACACAAGTGATCACAGACAAACTGCAGCTGCCTTCTCCCCAAGGTAAACCCGGGCAGGTGGGGCAGAAGGACATGTGGACAGCGCCTCTCTTTATTCATAAACTTGGAGCTCTTCATCCAAAAGGTGAATCACGTTAAGGGAGAAAAGTTGGTAGAAAGTCATTTATCCCTAAGAACCAGAGATAAGAAAAATGCAATCTTGGAGTTAAAAGGAACTCTAGAGACCATACTTGTTTTGGCTGGCAAGCTGGGGCAATCTTGGGCAAGTTCTTTAACCTCAGTGAATTGAGAAAAATAACAATATCACCTTTATAGGGTTGTTGTGAGGATTAAATGAGTTAAAATGTATAGTGTGCCTTGAATAGTACCAGGCACATAGTTAGTACACAATACATCTTAATCATTGTTTTATTGTTACAATTATTCAGCTCAGTACACATATATAGTCTGTGTGTATCACATGCTGTTAAGATTACAAAATGAATGAGCCTTGGTCCCTAAAATGATCAGTTTTTGGGGGGGTAATACAGACACACAGAGAATTCCCACATGACCTGGAGAGATGAAAATGGCATATATGGGAGGTGGGTACCTAGAGGAGCGGCCGTTAGCTGGCCTGAGGAATGAGTGGGAGGAAACTTCCAGAAGTTAAACTGGGAGGGTAAGTAGGAGTTGGCTACTTGAAGAAGGTTGGATTAGTGGAAGATGGTCCCCAAAGCCTATAAGCCGTCCACCACATCCCAGATAAGAGTTCACTCATCTTGTTTTAACATTTTCAGTTCGTTTACGTTGCAGGACATCATGTTTCGTTGCCAGCAGCTACTAGAAAATTTCTTCCTGCAACTTCACCCATTTCTCAGAGTTGTGCCACCTTCTGTAGCTGAAGACAGCTGTCAAGACCCAACCACTCCTCTTTTGTTCTACTTCTAGAGAAGAGAGGGTGGTGCTGGTGTCAGCAGGGGAGAGGGAGATGAGAGAGATGAAGTATTGGTGTTAAAGGACTAACGTGAAGGGTTTTTATCTATGATCCCAATGCCTCAGACAGCTGTAACATCCAAGGACTCTGTGAAGGTAGACTAGTATCTTGGAGAAACTGGTCCTTGACTGATGAACTCCGTGAGCATTTGTACTTTTGCACTTTCTGAGGGGGAGAGGACAGCAATGAATGTCGTAGTCAGGTGTTGGGATGAAATCACACTGTCGTTCACATTTTCTATGTGGCCTTTGTTCTTAACAGGTCAGTTTCAGCTTTAGGTTAGACAGCCTGATCAATCTGTATGAGAAAGGCTCCAGACCTTCCCAGCCCAGCCAAACCCTGAGGAGGCCTCTGTGCATGGCCATGCAGAACAGGTCCTGCACAAATCGAGAGGGTGCTATTCACACAGGCGGTGACGTGATGGTGCCCTGGAAACTGTGCGTTGCAGTAGTGCTGCCAAACTCCAGCATCCTTAGTTACCTTATCCTTACCTGACCTTATTTGACATCATTAAATTATCAGAGAGCCAGTCCTTTTACTTACCACAAGTCCTCCCTATAGCAGTTCTCTTAGAATTCTTCCTTTGCAGTCCCACCACCCATGCTTCCGAGTCCTAATATGTAACATGTCAACGTCATTCCCAGCCTTTGCTTTTTTTCCTTTGAGAGGAAGAGTCAAATCTGGAAGGTAAAGGCTATTTAAGGCCAACAAGGTAAAGTCAAAAACCTCTGCTGGCCACTGAGACTCTAGTGGACTGTGGCATCTTGTGCTCTCATGATTTTCTCTCCAGGTCTTAGGCTCTGTGGTTCATTCTGCTCTGTTCATAAACCTGATCCAGACATATTCAGGGGTTCCTACTATTAGAAGTAGCCATCAAATCAAATAGACACATTCTATATTTATTTATTTATTTACCAAATACTGAGTGCCTCCTGCAAATTAAGAACTGGTTTGGAAGGTTTGAGAATAAAAGGAGTTACTATTTGAATCATAAATGGTTGCCATTGAGGAATTTGCAGTCTACTATCCTAATTTTGTGTGTAGGCAAATATTAAAACTAAACCTATTATTATAATAGGGGAGGGCATAAGTATGTTGTGAACTAAGCTGCAGAGGAAAGATAGTTAGGAATTTAAAATGTCTTCAGTTAATACAAACGTAGATATTTAAAGATAATCATCTTTTTCTTCCTACAGATAGTTTTCAGTTCCAGATGAAACTATCCCAAAGTCAGGAGGCCTTCACAAGGGAACACTGCAGGTAGATGGAGATGCTGACAATGGGCATGGAGAGGCAGAAAGTGAGATACTTCTGACCATTAAACAGGGCCCTCACCTCACCTGCAGACCAGGAAGGCATCTGGCCAACCATAAGTAGTGACTATTCAAGTTAATAGAGATTTAGAAAGGCAATTTATTTTGTAGAGAAGTTATTTCTTAGTGGTTAAGAAAAACTTCAATAGCTCTCAAATGCATTGTACATATAGCAGGGTATTCTGTTTTTCAGCTATAAATTTGCCTTCTCAATCATTTTTAACCCAGGCTGATATTAAAATGAACTTACATTTCCCAACCATGTACCTATGGCTTTCAAATGTCTGTCCCACTGATCTTAAATGTACTACCTGATTTCAGCAGCTACGCTGCAGTTTTCCCTCTCTTATCCAACTTGACATCCTACTTTTCAAACAGAAACCTATGCATATTTGACATGAATCATCTCTACACACACTCATGTGTCTGGTTTACACAATTCTCCTTTATAAAAATACTAAGTGACCTCTACCTCCTTCCACTATCAGAATATTCACAATCCTGCAAAGCCCTCCTTAGTGCCTATGCCCACTTTTTTCAAACATTTTGTCTCAGAAAGACTTTACCTCTTTTGAACTCATGGTACCTGTGGAAAATGCACTGAACTAGTAGTCAGAGAGGTGAGCTCTAGGTTTGGTCTACTCAGTAGCTGTGAGGCCATATATAAGTAACTAAGCTCTATTAGTCTCAATTTTTTCATCTACAAAAGGGTGGTAACTTTTGCCTGCTGGAATTTCAGGGTTGTTGCAGGATAAGAGGGTGATGGTATATAAAATAATATTCAGATGTGCTGACAAAGTTCAAATATGCTAAGAGATAAATGTATTGTTACTTATTGCTTTGTATCACTTTTATATTTTTATTTAACACATTGTTAGTTTACTCTTTAAATGTAGTTGTTTCTCCATTTAGTTTGTGAAATATTAGATTGGCTTTAGGTTAAAAACCTTTTTATTTTTTTAATCCTCACTCGAGGACATTTTTTCCATTGCTTTTCAAAGGGGCAGAGAGAGAGAAACATCGATGTGAGAGAGACACATTGATTGGTTGCCTCCCACATGCACCCAGACCGGGGCCGGTGATCGAGCCTGCAAACAAGGTATATGCCCTTGGCCTGAATGGACGCAGGACCCTTCAGTCTGAGGGCCAACGTTCTAACCACCGAACCAAACCAGCTAAGGCTGGCTTTAGGTTTTTAAAAATCTGTAACAGGGTTTTGCATTATAATCAGGTCCTGACTTTGAAAGCCTATGGAGTGATGGAGGAGTAGGATGGACGTAGAATGAATGAGTTATCAAGGAAAGCTTCCTGGGAAAAGTGGCTTGGAGACCTGGTAATGCCCCGACAAAAGTGGCTGCTGCCTGGTCACTCTCATTTCTTCATCTTCTCTCCACAAAGAACAGAGGAAGAGTTCCTGGATCAAGTGAGCAAGAAGCTGGCTCAGACCAGCCCCCAGAAAGACATGCTGACCATGAAGCCCTGTCACTGTGCGGAAATCCTGAAGGCAGTGATCTCTCCCCTCACTGAGCACTGCCTGGTCATCAGAGAAAACACTTGCGCGTTTTATTACCTGCTGGAAGCTGCCGCTGCCTCCTTGGACCTGTCAGATAATTACATGGTAAGCATGTAATGTGTTAAATAAAAACATATAAGTGATACAAAGCAATAAGTAACAATACATTTATCTCTTAGCATATTTGAACTTTGTCAGCACATCTAATTATTATTTTATACACCACCACCCTCTTATCCTGCAACAACCCTGACATCCCTGCACCTGAGCTGAGCCCTTTTACTTGGGGGATTCAATTGGATTTCTTACTATCAGGTTACCTGGAGAGAAAAGCGGAAGAAAGTGGGAGACAAAAAGGAGCTGGAAGGGGTTTAGGAGAAAATATGAATGGGGATGTGGTAGTGAAAGAGCACCAGGCTGCTGGCCCTGCCCTGCCCTGCCCTGCCCTGCGCATGCCCTGCGCGCAGTCCAGCTCCTGGTTTCTAACAGGAGATCCAGCCTGATTCAAGTGCAGACCTTGACCCTCATCATATCCTTGCTCCAGCCTTCACCCGGAGGGCACCTCTAGCATCACCTGAATCCTAACCCAGCTCCTCCATCCCCTGTCTGGTTTGAAGGCCTTGTTTTATTTGAGGAAGGCAAGCAGTCTTCTGGACCAGCACTCGGCATTCTCGTTTTTGAAAAAGCACAAAATGAAGATCTGTCAGTTTGAGGAGGCCACTTTCTGCAGTCTCCAGTCAGAGGTGAGGGTGGGGTGACCTTAAAGTTTGGGTTATTTCTCCTGGAGGCTTACCCTATCATTTTTTTTTACAATCCCTTTGTTTTTTTTCTTTTGTGTATGTGCAATTATAAATGTGATAATGTGATAAAAGGTGTACAAATGCAAAACAAAAATATATCATATGTGAAAAAGTGAGATAGCCTTCACTAATCCCATGCCACCCCGCACAGTTAATAACCCGGTGCACATTCCACCGGCTACGTGCGCGTGGTCATATCATTCGCGTTTTGTTATTTTAAAGTAGAATCATATTCCTCACCCTCTTCTGCAGCTGACTCTCATTCTAACGGTGCAGGCTGAGCACCCCTGCACAGCAATGGGCACCTAGTGTTTGCGTATTTGCATATTGATGTACAGCTAATCGCAGTGCCAGCTGCCAGCACGTCACTGTGTGTGCGTATCAGAGTTTGCTTACCACTCCATTCTTCATCTGGGGCACTGCGGTGAATATTCTTGTAAATGCCTCCCCCTTGTGAGAGTGGTTTTGTAAGAGGAATTTCCAGAGGTAGAAATAGTAAGGCAGGAGATATGAATGATTTTACACTTAGGAAATATATTGCCAAATTGTCCACCAGAAATATTATAACAATTCAAATTTTTTACATCTCTTTACATCCTTACCAACATCAGATATTATTAGTCTTTTTAAACCTTGCTAATACGTAGATGAAAGTTATATCAACTAATATGGTACATTATTTTTACAAGTTTATTGGTCATTGATTTTTCTGGGGATTGCCTAGTCATGGGGATGTAATGTGCAGTGTAGTGAGCATAGTCAATAAAACTGTGTTGTTTAACTGAAAGTTGCTAAGCGAGTAGATCTCAAAAGCTCCCATTACAAGAAAAAAAGATTTGTAGCTATGTGTGGTGATGGACGTTAACTTATTGTGGCGATTATTTAGCAATATATACATATAACGAATCATGTTGTACAACTAAAACTAATACAATGTTATGTGTCCATTAGATCTCAATAAAAAAAAAATCACGTTGCCCACATTAAATTTACACAATATTATGTGTCAATATACTCAATAAAGCTAGAAAAAAAACCATATAGTTAAAAATCTCCCCCCAACCCTGTCACCCAGCCACTGTGTCCCTTCCCCAGTGTTCTGTATCTTTATGTGTTCTACCAGAGGGGCTTGGAGTGCATAAATATAAAAGGTTTCCCCTTCCTTTTTTATCTTGTTTTTAAAAAAATATTATTCTTTAGCATTTATAACACATATCCTCGGGGAATAAGATTTGTGTAACAAAAAGAAATTCATGGGGAAAGCCCACTGTGAGATACTCCATTTTCAAAGGACAGATGGGAGTGAACTTATTTATTGTGTAAGAATAACTTAGGACAGCTAAGAGACTTCTCCCAGCCTTATTACTATTAAGTCCAACAGACCATAATGTGTTGGAATAGTTATTTAGCAGTTTATAAATAATGGCTCCACAAAGCCATAGGGGATGTTCTGTTAGAGGGCTGAGCTTTAAAAATTTTTTTAATTAAAAATATAAAAACTAACTTCAATGTAAACCTTAAGATAATCTGGTTAGGAGAGTAAAGCTAATATATATAATGCCTTTGAATGCCAAAGGGAATAGTAGAATTATCCACAGTATTGTATTATTCGTGTTTCAACCAAGAAGTCTTTGGAGCAAAGTTACATAATTATTTCTTTTCCTTTATAAGAAGTTATTGCGCAGTCTTCCCACAATTGTTCTGGAGCCACCATAGACTTGATCACTCTCTCAGAGGGTTTAGCCTTAAAACATGAAGGTATATGGTAAGCCCAGGTATTCCCCTGGTTCCTACCTCCATAGTCACTGTGGTATCCAAGCCTGTTTAGGTAGAGAGTTGTGGGATGGGTGGTATTTCAGATGCTTCCTCTGGCATCTGAAGCATCTGAATCTCTGCCCAAATGACAATCCCACCTCAGTCTCACAGCATCACTTTCTAAACCACAGCCTTCCTCTATTGCTCACTGACCATGTGGGGGAGATGAGAAAAGAGGGTGCTTTCTCCTTAACCCTATTTTCTCACCCCTTTATGGGCTCATGGCCCTACTGGTGCTTGTTAGTGTAGCCGGGCTCTGCCCCCACTCAGCTCACTCACTCAAGCACCTCGTTGGCCCTAAGTGCGCATCCGAAAACGAAAGAGCCAGTGTGTTATATCCAGGACCTTGTCCAGAGTACTCTCCCCACATTTACATTACTGTTTCTTCTTTTCCCATTCCAGGTCTGTTTCAACATGGGACAGATCACCTTGGCCAAAAAACTGGCTAAGCAAGCACTTCGACTGCTGAAAAGGAATTTCCCTTGGACCTGGTTTGGTGTCCTTTTCCAAATATTCCTGGAAAAATACTGGCATCCCTGTTCCCTGAGCCAACCTCCAGACAACCCTAGTGACAAGTAAGAAGCTGGCCAAGTTGCCCTGATCCCCTTTAGGGCCGCAGAGAACTAAAGTAGGACCCAGTCTAGAGTTTTGCTATATTGACCCAAAACTCCTCTTTTTAAGCAGATCACAGACAGTTCTAGTTCTGCCTTACTCCCCCAGCCAATTAGATGTAGCAGAATGAAGACTTTTGTTTTTGGAGTGTGGTGTTATCCTCTCTTCCAAATAAAGATAAGGGTGTGTGTTTGTATGTGTATACATGGATATATAGATATATAACTAGGTAGCGATTTAATATTTCTCTGATATAAAAATATTAAATTGCTACCTAGTTATTGAATTACTATAATTTATAGGAAATATATTTAACTAAAATAGCAATACAAACAACAAACCTTTATTTTAAAAAAACCTCTCTGAAATTTTCCTGGTCAAGAGGGATGAGTTTAAAAGGTCTATGGGGTTGGAAGTAGTGGGATCCCAGAAAGACTTCTGAGTTTGGAAGTCTGTAGCTGGCCCACCCATGAGTAGACTTGGACTGTTGTGGGTAGGCATGGTTGGGCACTGGCAAAGAATAAGGTATGCTAACCACCCCATGTGTCCCAACAGTAAGAAGTCAGCCGTCCTGCAGCAGCGGGTGCACTGCCTCTCCCTGCTCTGTCAGCTCTACAATCTGGAGGCCACAGCCAGCAGCCGCAGGTTTGCCTGCCTGGCCATGCTGATGCAGAAGAATTCAGCCGAGGAGTTTGCAAATGAAGCCCAGGTAAACCAATCCTTGCTTTACTTCCAGACTGCACTCAGAAACCTAAAGTGCTGGGGAGAGAGGTGCTGCCAAGTTCCTGGGTTTATATGGTTCCCCGATAACCCAGATTTAACAGGACACCACTGATCATGGGTTTGAGCAGCATTTCTCAACTGGCAGTTTATAGATGGGTTTTCCAGACGTGAGGCTGCCTGTGAACTGCCTGAACTGAATATAGAACTTTGTGTGTCCAAAAGAGCATTAGGGGAGTGGCGGGAGATCAGGAAGTGGTCATAGCTTCCATCAGATTTTCAAAGAAGTTCATAATCTAAAAAAGAATTTGAATTGCTGACTTGGAACAAAAGGAGGAAGAGAAGTGTGTCTTCCTAATTTTTGTCTCTCTCTCATCTATTTGTTCAACAAATATTTGATGAATGCTGATTAGGTGCCAGGCACTATTTCCAAGGAAATAGATGATGGATAAGTGAAATGTATAGTATGTTAGGTGATAATAGATGCCATGGAGAAACATTAAGTGGAGGCAGGAGGACATAGGGTTCTTGGAGCTGATAGGTGCAGTTTTAAGCAAGGTGGTCAGGGAAAGCCTCACTGAGCAGGTGACATTTGGGCAAATATCTGAAGAAGGTGAGAATGGAAGCCATGTGGCTACGTGGGAGAAGGTGTACAGGCAGAGAGGAACAGGATGTGTAAGGCCTGCCCTCTGTGCTTGAGGAACAGGGAAGAGGCCAGTGTGACTAGAGGGGAAGAAGGGGAGGAGAGAAAGGCAAGGGATGAGTCAGAGGGAGGGGTACAAGGCAGATCGTGCAGGCCTTGTAGACCACTGTAGGCATTCTGGCATTTAAAGAAGATGGGAAGCCTGAGGTGGGTTCTTAGAAGAGGAATGACAGGGTCTACTTATATTTTAATAAGACGGAAGGGGGCAAGAGAGGAAGCAGGGCAACCAGTTAGGAGGCTATTACAATAATGCAGGCAAGGGATGGTTGGCTTGGATTGTGGTGGTAAAGGAAGAGGGGAGGAGTGGTCTTCTGTCAGGAGAGAGCCAGCAGGATTCACTCACGGATTAATCCGAGATGTGAGAGAAAGAGTGGAGTCAAGGATAACCCCAGGATTTGCAATGTGGACTTCTAGAGGGATAAAGTGCTCTTAATTGGGATGGGGAAGTCTGTAGAAGGAACAGATTTGGAGGAAGATTGGCCCCAGGGTTTTGGACAGATTTAATTTGAGACATCAAGCGGAGATGTTGAGTAGGCCGTTGGATATACAAGTGTAGGTTCATGAGAAAGGTCTAGACTGGAAATGGGAATATGGAATCACCAGTGTGTAAATGGTACTTAAAACCATGAAACTCAGTGAGATCACCAAGAGAAGGAGAAAAGGTCCAAGGAATGAGTTAACAGCTCCAGTGTTAAGGGGTCAGGGTCATAAGGAGAAACCAGCATAAGAACCTGAGAAGTTGCCTGAGAAACAGGAGGAAAACAGAGAGCATGGTGTTCTGAGAACCTAGTGAAGACGCTATTTCGAGAAGAGGGTCATCCACTCTGTCAGATGTGCCCTCATGATAACAGGGACCCAGCAGCAATGCTGAAGAGCTCTACGGAACAAGAATCAGAAACCTGAACTGGAGACAGCACAGATGAGGTTTGGCCAGTGTTCTGAAAGGGAAGGTCTTGGATTGGAGAAAAAGAAGAGAGGGCCAGGTTGAGAAAGGAGTTTGTTTAAAGAGCAGGCAGTGAGAATCGTCAAATTAGAAGTGTAAGGGTGAGGACGGTATGTGTTCATAGCTGGAGTGGAGGTGAGTGGTAGGCACACCCGAGTCCCAACTGAATGAGCAGCATGGCCCCGAGTGGGTGCTTATGCAGAAAAGGGGCAGAATGGAAATGCAGTGCAAATGTACAGTGAGAATATTTTGTCCTGTGTTTGTTGCCCTACAGGTTGTCTCTACCTATGTGGCCCTCTCCCAGTTCTCCCAGAATGTGGGTGACAGGGAGAAGTGGCTGCACTGTGAGCGATTGGCCATTCAGAAAAGCAGCCTGTGTTGGTTCTCCAGGGAGGGATTGTTGGCCACAGCGCAGCTCATGCAGACCCTGGCCTACACCAAGTTCTGCCTCGGCCACCTTGACTCTTCCATCAAGCTGGGTAACGAGGCCTGGGCTGATGAGCCTAAGGCTTTCAGAGAGGCCTGGCTCACAGCTGGACCTCACATGGTGCTTTTACCTCCTTAGGTTTTCAAGCTCATGAGATATGCAGACACCTCAAGAAGCCAGCTCTGGAGAATCTGGTTCTCTCAGTTCTCTTCAGATCTGCATTTCTCAAGAAGAAGTATTAACATCATTTTTTGTCATTTATGTTTGTTGCCTAAGCAAGGAGGGTGTGATCTCCCAGAGAAGTGAGAGTGGAGAGGGAGATGCTGTGCATCTCCACAGCCAGGGCTGTCTCTTCTCCAGTCACTACAGGAAGCACTGTCTTAAGTGTGGGGGTCAGGAGTGAAAAGTGCAGTCTAAGCTGCTACATATTCTTTTCTTTTTTTTCTTTTTTCTTTAGGGAGGTATTTCAAAACCCTGGAAACTGTCTTAGAGGCATTTTCCCACTTGCTTTGCTTAGAGACAACTCTCAGACACAGATGCTCTCTACATAATAGAGCTATGGAGAGGAGGTGTATGGGATGTTAGGCTCCTCTGAAGGTGTGAGATCCCCTCCTGCCCTGCACTATGCTCCTCACTTCCTAGCTGGTCCTAGTGGCTCTGTCTCTCGGCAGATTTGATCTGTGTGTCCGTGTGCTGGACAGTCAGTGGGCGCTCATTTCCCAGGGTCATGATGTCCTTGGCCTGGCCTGCTTCTATTCTGCTTGCCTAGATCTGCTGCTCTATGGAAAAGGTAAATCTTGTGCAGGGCTCTGTTGTACTCCTGAGGGATACAGACCTTAGATGGGACCGAGGTTTGGAACACAGGCAGTCACGAGCCTGTCCCCTGGCATGGCCTCTGCTCCCAGCCCCTGGCTCTGTACAGTCTAGGAACCACATTGTGATTTAGGGGTGTCTCCTTCCCTGTACCACACACCTTCAAAACCAGTTCCTACATGGACATCTTGCAGTAACCTGGTTACCTTCTCTGTCCACAGGATTGCTCTGCAGGCCCTTTGGAGAGTGTCTGCATTTCATTCAATACTATGAGCAGAGCTGCATTCTAACCTCTCAGAGCAATGTCATGCTGGGACTCCACACCTCTCTGGCCATGTGGTAATGTGGGGTACCAGAGTCTTACTCGGGATCTATGGGAAAGGGTAGAAATCTAAGGACCCCATGAAGTCATTATTTCACATCTCTCACCCACTTCTAAATACCATTCGCCTCCTTCCCCACCGTATTAGAAGGCTTCTCCCTTTTCTTCTTTTTCCTTAACAGGTGCAGGCCCACAGATGAGGGTGAGTTTAGTGTTACATTTAAGGGCTAGAAAGCCCCTGGCAAGGCTGAATATCATCAGTCTTTTGTTAAATCTCTTTGCGTTCAAGTTGTTCACTTTCCAGCATCGCAATTCTCACTATCAAGAAAGTCTTAGAGTCTTAAAGAAATGATGTTTCTAGAAAGAGCCACGGTTGTTAAGTAGGGACAGCTTAGAGCTGTGATTTTTTTCCCCCTCCAGGTTTGCCCAGGACTCACAGTGGAACCTGTTTGAGCATCACTTCTCCAAGGCTCGCCAGTTGGTGAAAAGAACCAATGCCTCACTGTTTGGTTCACATGGCTTTGTCCGGTTCCTAGAGTGCCAAGTGCTGATGTTACAGAAAATGCCAGGGCGGGTCTTCATGCACACTCCCCCAGAGACTCAGAGTCAAGTCTTAAAGGTGCCTGTTTCTCTGCTGTCCTTCAACTAATACCTAAGGTATAGTTTGACCCTGTGGGGCTCTCTGCCACCTGCATCTGTCCCTTACTCTTCTCTTTGCTCCCTCTGTCTCTTTTACCCCTTGAACCCTTTTTTTCTCCACCTAGAAAGTCTTTCCACCTACCTCACATACCCTCCAGATGTTTTTGCATGTAGGTCAGGACTGGATCCCAAAGGTAGGAGAAGCCTTTGCACAGCTACTGCCCAACACCATTAAAATGTGAGCATTTAGCCCTTCTCCGTAGACCTGCTCTGGCAGGTCTGTAATCTGACGTATCTCCCTACAGACCTGCCTTCTGCGAGCAAGACATTCTAGTTCCTCTGTATTTCAAACCAACTTTCTGGGCCTACTTTGCCACCAGTACCCTGTCCTTGTTCCCCCAGCCGGAGTGAGTGTGCTGAGTGGGAACTATTGTGAATTCTGATAGAGTAGAGTGGAGGGAGGAAAGCGCTAATCCCTGACCTCATGGACCTTCCTTTCTTTTCAGTATTTCAAGGAATTCTTCTCTCGATGTGTGACCTGTCCTGTTTATCACCCATGGGTCTCTGAGCTTAAAGCCTCTGTATTGAGATATGGAAAGAGAAAACTCATGTCCTTGACTAACAGCGTCAGGCCATTGGACACCTGCTTGACCGGGATTTGGATAGAGGGGGCATTCCTGGAGGAAGACAAGTCCTTTGAAGGAAATTTAGCAATACAGAGTAAGCATTCTTTCCTGGAGCCTGTGTCTGAGAGGCGTAGAACAGTCTCTGGCTCTTGCTCACAAGCAGCCCAAGGCTTCATCTCCAAAGTCAGAAGGGACACACAAATGTAAGGAGTTAGTCCTTGCTCCAGAGGTAATTCCTGTCCCCTCCCTAGTGCTGGGCCAGCCTAGACACATTGCTAAATAATGTGAGAGCCTCTCCCAGACCTTTATTTCAACACCTAGAATCCTTAAGTGTAGAAAGTTTCTCTTTGGTCCCAGCTTGAGCGACAGGATCGTTCCCCTGGAGGTCACCATGGGAGAAAGGCCTTAGAACTCACACTGTAATGTCTGTGACAATAAATGGTGAGATGTGGGTGGGAAAAGGAGAGGAAGGAGCATAGCTTCTCGCCTCGGGGCCCAGCAGATCTCATTTTGCAGGGTCTTGAGTCGAACCTGTAGTGGCTGGGACGTCCCTTGTGTGTGTCATGTTCCTTCTTTTCCTGTTCCCAGGGTTTGACAGAGTGGATGTCGCGGAGAAGGGGAGCGAGGAAGAAACTCAAGAATGTTAATGTTACAACCAAAAAATCACCTGGAGGGGTCATGGTTGCCTTATTGTGTATAACACCAAGAAATACGCAATCCTCCTCTTTAAGATGCTGTGTAGTGTACATATTAAACGCACTAGTCTTTCACAGCCACCACTATCTAGATCTTTGTGAAAATAAAATTCTATGTTTCTGAAGCATGAAACTTAGATCTTAACTCTGGACTGTCATTTGCACAACTCTAGAGAAATTAAAACCCAGGGTAGAGCAGAGGCCTGGGAGGCTTTGAGATGAGCCGATTCCCTCTCAGATAAGGTGGGACCCATTAGCAGCCCTAATGAAGAGGCTGTCGTTACATAAGCAAGGCTGGCAGGGCCGGTGCTTGGTGCTGACCTCTTTGGGCCCAGGTGTGGAAATGGGCTGCTAAGAAGTCAAGGAACCTTGAGAGGTACATAGTGGGAATTCATTTCTCCCTGGCAGTGTGTGATTTGGGCATTTCCACATGAAACTGAAATTGCCAGAGGGCACATGACTCCAGCTTTCTTCTTTCTTACCCCCTTTTGGAGCTGCTGTGTTTGGCCTTTGTCTGCTAATGGCCTTCCTCCCACAGAGCATGGCCTTCACGCTGGTTTTGACGCTTTGTAACTCAGTCATCTGGTGTTCATAAAGTGAGATGAACGTTTAGTTCATAACTGATGTCATGATAGCTACCGTGTACCGTTCACTCTGTTTGAAATACTCCTTTAAACCCTTCTAGCAATTCCGTGAAGCAGGTATTTTTATTACCCCCACATTACAGATGAAGGAACTGAGGCTTAGAAAGGTTTTACTCCAAGAAACACAGCCACAAAATGGTGGAGCTGGGAGTCTACCTCCAGTGGAACTCCAGGGTCGATGCTCTTAACCACCAGGCTGCACAGGCTTTCGTGGGACCTAGCCTACAGTCAGCTGTCCGGCGCCCAGTCTTCAATATTCGTTCAAACGACCGAGATCAGAACTTTAAGGGCCCACAGGGAGATGCCTGGGAAAGGGGGGCCTGTACTTGCCCCTTAAGTCTCCCTTCTAGTCTGCACATTCCCTCCCCCTCCTCCCCCTTCTTGTTACCCTT